TAAGGAAGAAACTGTGCTACAGGGCATGATTGATAGACTAATTGAAAGTGGAAGGTGCTATGGCATGGAAATGAATGTGGAGAAAACAAAAGTAATGAAAATTTCGAGACAACCAACCCCAGTCACAATAAAGATAGACCAAAAACAACTGGAGAATGTGAAATGTTTTAAATATTTGGGTAGCTTGTTAACAGATGATGGAAGGAGTACTAGTGAAATTAAATCCAGGATTGCCATGGCAAAAGCTGCATTTAGCAAGAAGAAGAATCTTTTTACCAGCAAACTGGACTTAAATTTGAGGAAGAAACTAGTGAAATGCTACATTTGAAGCATAGCTCTGTATGGGGCTGAAACATGGACACTTAGGGCAGTAGATCAGAAACATCTGGAAAGTTTCAAAATGTGGTGTTGGGGAAGGATGGAGAAGATCAGTTGGACCGATTATGTGAGAAATGAAGAAGTGTTAATTAGAGTCAGTGAGCAGAGGAATATCCTACATGAAATAAGAAAATGGAAGGCTAATTGGATTGGACATGTTTTACACAGAAACTGCCTTCTAAAAGAAGTTATTGAAGGAAAGATAGAGGGGAAGATGATGATGATTATGATGTGTCATTTGTGTGTTGTGTCTTACTGTGGTACCACTGCCACCGGGCAAAAACCCATTTGCAGTTTAAATAAAGAATAATAAAATTCATAACACTTAATAATTTTTTCACAATACACTGAAGTGTACTCTATCTTCTGAAATAACATTTCTTTTCAATGGAAAATGTTCATGAATCTTTCAATTAAAAAAAAACTGGCCATCCTCTTTTTTCACCATGAGCAGAAATAGATACTGTCAACAAGTTCATATATTACAGTGCTATCAACCATTATGATGCTAACTGTTCAGTTAGTTCAAACACTAATGTACAAAGTAAAAGCACTTATATATGAAAATTATCAAATTTCACAACGAAAAATCAGTGTTCAAATCAAGATAGTTTTCTTTCTTGAACCATCTCAGAAATTCAAGACTTGCTTATATCTAATAAAAACTTTTTAGGGATTTATTGTCCTCAGGCTGGCACGAAGGGCCGACCACCACACTGTCATCTGTGAGCTGACTGTCTAGAAAATGTGGGAGCCTCAACATCTCACAACCCTATGGGCCTCCTCCACAGCCTGTTACAGGGATAGCTTTACCTTTACCTTACCTTAGTTAAGTCTTGCACATTGCAACTAAGACATACATACAACTGTTCACAAGTAATGAAGGAACAGATGTACACACTTACCATAAATGTGTGACTAAATGCTGGCACTGAATGAGTCCTGTAGGTCTGAACTGGAGATGGATACTAGAAAAGAAATTATAAATAACAACAAGGTCTCAAATAGTATGGGATTAGACCTATTAAGCCACATATGAATCAGGAAACATTCTTGATGGCCTATAATGCTTTTTCCCATTCTAATATGCTTTATGGTATTATTTCCTGGGGAAATTTTTCATATGCTATTAATATTTTTTGTGTGCAGAAGAGAGCACTTATAATGTCAAGTATTAGTAACATAAACTCTTGTAGACAGTTATTTAAAACATTAAGAATTCTCCCTCTTCAATTTCAGTATATTCATTCTTTACTGTGTTTTGTGGTTGATAACATGGATTCATACCAATTTATATCAGTTATACATAACAGAAATACCAGACAGGGTAACAATCTTAATCTTTATTAACCCTCAGCTCATGCAGATCAATGCTGTATGCTGATGGCACATCAAGACTGAATGTAGGACAAGCTATGAATGAGCTCCAAAACATGACTTCAAATAATATAGGAGTGATAGAGCAATACTTTAAGACAAATAATTTATTTATAAATCCATCTAATACTCACTATATTCTCTTCCAGACAAAACGATGCAGGCAGGAAAGTAATCTAAAAATCCTAACAAAGAACAGGGAAATATCAAATGTAAAAAGCACAAATTTCCTGGGGGTAGTAATAGATAGTACCTTCAGCTGGGAATTACATATTGAAAAAACCTGCAGTAGAATTAGCCGTAACCTGTTCATAATTAACAGGCTATCTAAAATACTGGATTTAAGTGAAAGAANCTCTTATAATTATCATTTATTTGTTTACTTTCCTTCATTATTGTTACTTCCAAGTACTTTCCTGTAATTTGTATTTGACTTTTAATAAGTTTGTCTATAATGTAATTACATTCATTTACGCTGTGCTCTGTCTGTAATTGGCCTTGTGGCTGTTGACTCGGCACATAAATAACAGAGAATTGAATTGAATTATTCAGAGGGGGTGTGTTACCCCATGCACTGTGACCATTTATTAATCTATTGTGTGTCCCCCTTTTTAATTATTCTAACTAGTCACCATGCCCTTCGGGTACTGGTGCTCACTATCAGCACCTTTCTGCCAACAAGGTCGGCCCTCTCCGGTAGTGGTCCCTGATACTTCCCCATCTACCTGAGGAACTGGAAACTACTTGGGTGGGAAACTGCCTAATTTTGCTCAGAGGGCTCCTAGAAACATGAGGATCTTTTACATGCCATAAATCTACGACACGGGACACACGGCTTAAAGTCCATTCCGGAGGACTTGTGCCCTGAATTTTCCCCCCCTTGAAAATTCCACGACCTCTGCCGGGTTTGAACCCGCATACCTTCAGTCATGAGGTGGGAACGTTACCCCTAGACTTCTATGGAAGCCGTTTCAGAGGTGCTATTACTCAACTGAGGACTATTTGAATGATGAATTCTCAAATATTGACTACTGATATAAGCAGAAATATATAGTATATATTGTATATAATGTTGTATATCTTATATAATTTCTTGTATTAGTATTAAGATTGTTGAAATTTAATAATGTATATTACCTGAAAGACTTGACCTATATCATTGTATCATGATCTACAGGATTAATAAAAGAATGAATGAATGAATCTATCACTCTATTAGAAGGGAACTTACTATATGGGTATCAAGGTGTTTAATAATCTTCCTTTATACTTAAAGAAATTATACAATAATTGTAAATGTTTTAAATCGGCTTCAAAGAATTCTTTGTGCTCCCATTAATTTTACTCATTGTTAGAATTTTTTGATTCTGAATGTGATAAAAATTAAGATATCATTTCTTTCTAATAAGTGATTAATAATATATAGCTTTTAATATTAGGTTTTTAGTACTGATTCTGAGGCCATAAATGCAATGATATTGTGTAGTGTCCTTGACTATATGTACGAATGTACTGTTTTTCTTTTCCGTATTGGTTATGATAATTTCCACATCCTTATACTTTGTATGGATCTATGGAAATAAGGGTATATGAGTATACAATGAGAAATGGACAAAATTATGGATGGTAAGTAAATATATTTCCAACGATTGAGGTTAGGTTAACATAATACAATTCACCTCTAAAACCACTTCTTCATTTTTACTTTCCACTTCAAATCTTAATTCACATTCAGTTTCAAGCTTAAATTTTTTAACCTTTTCTTCCACCATTATTATTTGTGTTAGACTGCGACAAAATATTCAAAAGAGCACATTCAACTCCAACCACCGTCGAATACGTAATTCCTCCTGTTACTCTTGTTGCTCTTGCTATCGGTTGCTATGGTTATCCCTCCATGAAACACTTTGTTACTCAGGCACAAAATGGCCGCCGTTTTGAATGTAATTCTGCTGCCATCTCTAAGCACACTTAAACTAACAACAAAACGGCCACCACCTCCGAGAGCACGATCGGTAAAACGGCATGCTATTATACCACCTTCTGCATCCTGCCCCGTCAAACCCTGAACCCTTCTTCACAACAATAGTAGTAAATAATTTTGCAATTCTAACCATTTGTGCTTTGAAAGGGTTCTGAGTGAAGTGATGGGTATGAGCCTCTGGATTACAAAACGTCAGGGCTGCAAAATTAGTTATCTGGAGAAAGCTTTATAGGAGTGCTTGTGAAGTCATAATATTTCATTTACATCAGTCCAACACCTCCTTACCCAAATGCACTGGACACTGAATTATAACATACATAGTAACTACCTGTATGTACTATACTTCTAGTAAATATAAGTCCCTGTATTTGAACCTAACAACTGATCGAAGCCCAAATGGTTACTCTAACGTTGACTGTTGGTTTCCTCCATGACTGTTGGTTTCCTTCCATGACTGTTGGTTTCCTTTTGTTTGTGTTTTGGGTGTTGTATTTCTTTTTCTCTCTCTCTGTAATTGTTGTTATATTTGTTGCACTTGTTTGTATTTCTCTGTAATTGTTGTAGTTGTTAATCGTATTTGGTTTGTATTCATTGTGGTAGGATGTCCTTATTGTCGTGTTTTGTGTATTGTGTTTTGTTTGAACGTGTTGTCACTTAGTGTAATGTGTGTTCCTTATCTGTTGTGTCCTATTGTGTACTACTACCACCGAGCTAAAACCCAATTGCAGTATAATAAATAATATATATAAAAATTGGGGTGTTAAAAAACATTGGTCAAAAAAATCAATGTTGCCAACATGCAATAAATATAAAATTTTTACACAATATTTTTGCTATAATATAACTTATTTAATAAGAATATTTTGCTCCTACACAGTTATACAGAATTTGATTATTGGGAGTTGTATAAATATAACAAGTTAAGGGTACGTTAAGTTACTCCATATATGAGCGGAATGATACAGATTTAGATTTCACCTCCACAATTCCTGGGTTCAGTTCTCAAAATTAACTTGCTGGAGGTATTCATGAAAATATCTTATTATATTACATTGTTTCATTCAGATATCTTTGAAAATAAAACAACTACATGGAATGAAAAAAAATAATACGCTGAAGTGATGGATGTCTGCTGATAGGTAGAAATAGGTCCGTTATTGCGTCAGTTTTATCAACAAATTTTCTCTTCTTACTTCATTTTTAGACACATAATAATTTCCTTTTTTTCTTCTTTTTCTTATTTAGGTCCTGGGAAGACCAAGGCGTAGGTGGATGGACAATATTAAAATGGATCTTAGAATGATAGGATGGGATGATATGGATTGGATTGATCTGGCTCAGAATAGGGACCAGTGGAGGGCTCTTGTGAATATGATAATGAACCTTCGGTTTCCATAAAATGCTGGGAAATTCTTGAGTAGCTGCAGATTTAGCTTCTCCTCAAGAAGGGCTCAGCTCCGTAAGTAAGTAAGTAAGTAAGAAGGTTCTGAATATACTCGTATCTATAACTTAAACACATAATTTCCGAGCTGTATCTTCTAATTGCAGCCGAATTTTTGTATCTGCGCCTTTAGAATATTTTAGTCCTAATATTGTTTTTTTTTATTATACAGTTCACTTCTTGATGAAAACTGGTACATATTCAGAAAATAACACGTCGTGCGCATCTTATATCGAAATGTCAAGAACGTATGAAAAATACGTAATGTCGAAATGAATATATGTTTATACATTAATAACAAATCCATATCAGCATTATGTGTCTCTTGTACATAATTTCTTGTAAGATACGTTATGCTGCGCCTATACATTTTATTTAGTCCAAAAATATGTCATTTTCTGCGACTTTACCGAAAACGGTTTTCGATAACTGCAAGAATGCTTCTGCGTAAGTTTCTTCAAATGATGGTTTCAGCTCTGCCCAGAATTGTTTCCAGTTTTCATTCAGGACTAGGTTTGTGCTATCACCTGTAAATATAGACAACTCACAATTATCTGCTCCCTGAGGACGTTTGAAAGAACACACTCTCATCAACTTCAGGAACGAAGAATAAGCCAAGAAAGCGTCAAGAATAATGCAAAATACTCGGTTTGCTATTTGCTTGCTTATCTTTATTTTTGTCCCTGAAGATGAGTGAAGTAAATTCTTCCGAAACGTCGGAAAATTTCTGAAATACTACATGGTGTAACATCCCAGGAGACAGGTTCTTCATAGTCACCGCATCTAGAACCATAAACATCACATATTGTGTGTTCTGTAATTAAAATTCTGAAGTTAATAATAACAAAATTAACTACATTTTATTATTAGTCAGTACTTAAAATACACTGTAGCTTAAGTAATACTTTGGAAGTAACTGAAGACTATTTTTCAGTTGTAATAGAATTCAAGCCAAATTAATGTAAATGGCTGCAACATTGCGAGACTGTACAGTTACATGCAAAAGTATTGAATGCCTGAAAGACAAAGCTAATATCACTATAACAACTATAAATACAATAAGAAAATCAATCTTTCTTAAATGTGAAGAGACAAGCATACTCTTCAAGACGGCGGAACAGACCACGCATGGCCTAATCCATCAAGACGATGATGAAATATGCTATAAAGTTGTGAACTTAATTGATTTTATGAACATGATTATGAAATACAGGTATTGAGGTCCACAGAGTAGTGGTTATGATGAGCGGTTGAATAACTGTGGACTACGAAAGGAATATCATGAATCATGCAATCAGTCAGCATGTTTCGACTACAGCATTTCGGATCATAAAGAATGTCAGTAAAGGAATCAAGGAAAACCGTATCTTCAATGTTGACCAAATTCATGAATCTAAAATAAACATTTTTAAAAACCGGATGTCCTCAATTATAAGTTCTTTTAAATATCTAACGAATAATTTAAAGAACAGGTAGATTTTAGTTACATGAACTCACCTAAGTAATCATGTATTTTCAGAACACAGAATATTCTTCTGCATTTTATGGAGGAGGAAATGTTGTGTATTCCGGCTCCACTTATCGGCCCAAACTTTCATTTGACGTCCAATATCACTATCAACATTTTGTGATTTTATGCCGTCAGTACGTCAGAAGACTAGGGTAAAGTCGGGAGGGAAGAGACAATGATAAAGATGCCGCACAAAGAGATTAAGCTTGAACATCACGAGGAAATGTCCCCACTGCCAGACGGAAAACAAAATTGAAGGAGTAAGCTGCATTTCCCAGAATTCTTTCAGAATTTTACTAGTCTGAATGTCTGAAGATTTCGCTGCCATGAGTTATATTCCTTAGCGTCTCAGAAGATCAATGAATTGGATATACTTTCGGATAGATGTCACAAATATAAGTACGAAAAATTAAAAGACCCTCCTAGACACAAAATCGCCTAAGTAGCGACACGGAAGGTGTAAATCTACAGACAATGAAAAGGAAGAAAGCTAGAAGAAAATGTAATATTCCAAGGGAAAAAATATTCATAAGAACGTAGTATCAAAACACTTTCATAAACGTGAACTAGAACCGTCCTCGTGTCTGGGACATGAAATTGAGACTAAATTAGCACTACATATTAAATACTAAAAGATACAGGTTTTACTCCAAGCATGAAAACTTTTAGAACTTGGCATTTGACGTAACAACCAGTTTCGTCATTGCTGAAAAGCAATGAGTTGGACGTTATTTGTGCGAATCTTTCATGAGATGCAGTCTTCGTTTTTCCCTCAGGAAAGCAGAAGACATCTCTCCTACTACAATCCAGAGAAGGAAAAGATAAATTGTGAAAAGCATACATATTTTGCACTGATATGTTGGGTTTTTGGACTTTATCCATTGTCCTGGTTTTTAAGATAACAAATAAAAACACGACGTTTCGGAAACTGGATCTGTTTCCGTCCTCAGGTGAAGGAAAACACCTATTCAGTTGGGTCCCTTAGAAAGAGCTAGCCTCAATCACTGGACGGTGATTGAGTGATTGAGGCTAGCTCTTTCTAAGGGACCCAACTGAATAGGTGTTTTCCTTCACCTGAGGACGGAAACAGATCCAGTTTCCGAAACGTCGTGTTTTTATTTTTTATCTTAAAAACCAGGACGATGGATAAAGTCCAAAAACCCAACATATCAGTGTGTTATACACCATCGTCAGAATCCTATAGTAACTACTCATACATATTTTGGTCTAGCAATCACAGTTCGAAACGAACATGATCTACTGAAGTCACCTAATTTCGTTGCATCCACAATGTTCATGAAAGAGTCTTGCAACATAAAAATAAGCCAGATAAAGTCGAAGAAATGAAAGACAGTAAAAATATTTACGCTCTCACTTGGGGCGAAAGAAAGGAGAAATAATTTCTATAGCACCTTTCAGCAATGCGGGAGATATCCTTTACCTCTTTGTTGCATTTGCAAGCGCGTGAATAAGAAAGCTGAATATTCCGACGGAATGTCTCCCGGGTCTGCTCTGGTAGTGAACAAATATCAGCCTATGTCAGTTCTGTCCTGTATGTATGGACAAGCTTAAATCCATTTCATATGACGTTGAACTGCTGAGAGGAGCCTACTTATCCTGGATGTCCATTTCGCACGAACTGTTATCAAATGCTAGAATATATAGTGGAGAGTAATATAGACTTTCTATGACAAGTCGTGCTAAACACTGCCTTCATCTTCTAGAATTGTGTTCCTCATACCCTTAAAAACATATTTCTGCCAGTTTTGCAAAGTTGAATACTCAGAAATAAGCAGATTACTTGTTCTCAGTTTGTTAAGCTCTTTCATGGGAATTGCTCAACTGCAGTAACTGTATTTCGTGTAACTAAAATTTGTCCTTTGGATAAGTTAGCAATTTCTATTCATACCTTTGCGCGCTCAGAAAGTTCTTCACACACCTACTGGATAAGTATTGCAAACAAAGTTCTACAATGTAAGTTTTGAGGTTTTCACGGCGATGACTATGAAGAAAGTCGTCTTCTGGGTTTTGGCGCCGTGTATTCTTCGTTTTGGCCGACGTTTCGGAGGAACGTATCGCCTCCATCTTCAGAGCAGGTGAATGGCTTGTGAATGCTGAGAGCTACGAAGAATACACGGCGCCAAAACCCAGAAGACGACTTTCTTCAAAGTTCTACAAGTCCTCATCCATATAGATCTACATTGCAGACGGTTCTGCGCAATATCGAGTGGATAGAAATCGTCAAATACACGACTGCGTCACTTTTAACAAAGTATTCCTTCAAGTATCGCCCTTAAAAATTATAGGGACAGCGGCTGCTTCTTCTAGGCAACACGAGCAGTAGCACTCCTTACCTAGGTGCATTTCGTTGAAGACTAGAAAAGAACAGCTTATTCTCGAAAGCAGAAACAAGAATCGGCAAACAATCACAAAAAGGCTGTCGCCAAAAGCAACAGTGTTACATCCTAGAATATAGTATTCTTCGGCATTGTGGTTGCATGCGTTTATACTTACTCAACAATTTATCCCCATTGAAGAGATTATCAAAATTTATTTTTAAGTCTTGCAAGCTGTTTATATTTATTCCAAAGTATACCACATTCCAGTAAGATTTGCCATTGCGTGTCATTGGTTCGGCTCTCAATCGCAATGTCGTATTCAATCCAGCTGTACAAAACAAGAAAATATTACATTAAATGAATGACAAGAAGTCGGTATATAAGCTACTCAATGACACGATGAAATGCAGCTCCTTTCTAAAAGGGCGTTCCGGATGTAAGTGTGCATGTACATAACTAACACCGCTGTGTTCATCGTCCGCGAGTTCAGTAGTCTTGAGAGAACAGTATTATATTTAAGCACCCTGTTGCACTCTATACGATAAATGATATGAACTCCGTCCCAAGTGCAAACAATATATTATATGTCCTTGATCTTGCTCTCCTTTACACTACATGTTTCGGCCTCAAACAGCCATCATCAGGTGTATACACTCACGTTGCTGTTACACTGCACCCAGTTTAAAATTTAACATTTAAAAAACACATTGTTCCTTTCGTTGTTATTATCAACATCTCCTTCGTTGATATCTGTCTGGTTTATAGATTATTGTTTGTTTTAAAATTTAGAGAAACATTTTAAAGGATTTTAAAATTAGAACTAAAGATTTTATAAGTGCTAACGTGTGTAACAAAAATAATCTATAAACCGCCCTTAAAAACTTGACGACCTCCGCCGGGTATTTGAACCCGCGTACTACGAGTCATGAGGTGGGAACGTTACCTCTAGACTACGGAGGCCGCTCGAATGACGATTACAAATGTATGTCGGAGAAAACTGCCTTTGCCTAGGTTGACGTCATTTCCCTGCATTTGCTTGGATGGGCGGAAGAATTTGACAACGGATCGCGATCAGAATAGCAGACGTGTGCACTGGAATTTTAATCCATGACCTCCGGAACACAAAGCAGGAAATCTGGTCATTTGACCGTAACATTGGGTCACAGACGAAAAGAATAACATAAGTAATTCATTTCTATGATAAGTAACCATCTTATAAGCTTAGATTCGAGACATTCTTTGTCTCTGTTATTTAGCGAACAGTTTATCCCTTAATCGGGTTTCGGCGGTACGCGGTAAGGACTACCCAGATGTGGGGAAAGCCCGCCGAATTTACGGCTCACAGACCGCAAATAAGCAGGGTCTTCTAGTATATCACTGGCGGTGGAAAATGTTAAATACTCTTATAATGCTGTAGGTACAGATGTTTATTTGTTCCTAAGTCAGCGCCAACGAAACTGATATACTTACTGAATTCCATTATGCACTTCCCGTTTCCTTTAATAGGAAGCACCAAAAATTTTCCATTCATCACATAGTCGGCCTCCAGTTTCGAAAACTTTAAGAAGACGTCTGCTTCTATGATGTGCTTGTCAAAGTCAATTCTGGAAAAATACACAACACACATGTGGTTGTTAAAGAGTAGTGTTTTATTACCTTTACTGCTCCATCCCATCTTTCAGTGTATTAAACAAATTAAGTAGACGACTTTAGCACCCAAATAAAAAAAAATAGTGACATTTTCTTTTTATACAGCTGAAATGGTTATGTAACCAAGACTACCAGGAGTCTTGCCTACAAGATGGGGGAACACTGCCTGAAATTTAGGTTGGTGTTAACAGTGGAAATTCTTCAAGATATGTACGTACATGTTCTATCATAACTAAAACTGTATTTATTTTGTATTTACATTTTCAAGAAATTAATTTCAAGCACAATGCATTAGAAGTGAAAACATTTCAATACATGCTTAAACTCTGCCATCACTAATATAACCCTCAATTTATATTTAATTTATGTTATTGAAGAAATAATTTCCAATTATAATGCGTTAACAACCGGAAATAAGATATCCTTATAATCTGTCACTACTGACTGAGACTAGATTTAATTTCATAAGTTCATTTGAATTAATGAATTAATCTCTTTCTGAAAAACTCTAATGCTTGAGCAAGTGCTCCAGTGGCTTACTTTTAGATTTTTGCCACCAAAGATTATTTGACATCGAATAATTGGGATATGGAAGGTGACTGTGAACAGTTTGTGAGTAAAGGTTTGAAAGGAGCCTGCCATGGTCTATTTGAAGAAAATATTCCTGTATTCGCCTGAAGAATGTGAACGCCACAGCAAGCCCGAGTATTGAGGGGCAGTAACGCGGCAGATTTTTGGACTGGGTATTACAAGTCTGAATTCCGATAGATCAGCCTTCTCGGTGAATGGCTGAAAGAGTAAACTGATCAGTGAGTTGGCGAATGAACAGATTGATTATTGATTCAGTTCCCACAAAATGTTGGAAAATCCTCGACTGTTTTTTTTTTCAACGATTCATTTTCCTTATCTGTATTACAGATTATGTTTCCACGTCGTTTTCATCTACTGCATCGACAGCTTATGTGGTTCAATTTCTTTCTGGGGCTTCCAATTACAGCACCCCTTCAAAAACCCCAACCCTGATTTTGGCAATATCTGTCGAAACATTAAAAAACTTTCAGTAGTTCACGTGGCTTATGTGAGAGAAAAATTTATACAGTAAACAATATTAGGACACAGCCCTATGGAATGGAAAGGCAATACTGGGGTTCCATAGTATATCACTATTTAAATATTAGGCTCAAAGAAAATATAGCTTCAATTGTACCTATAAACTGGAGAAGTCAATTCTGAGTAATGTATTCATATGGCAGACGACATAAATGAGTAGATTTATATTTTTATTGTAATGAAACATGCTTTACAAAACAAAAAGAAAAGACGATATTCTGAGAAGAACTAATCCTTCGCTTTCCTTTGATATGACACGTACCGCACAGAAAAAAAAACGCGTCAAAAAATCTTCTATTTTTGCATGTGTACTGATTGTCACCAGAAAGTGTATACCAGCCCGTTGTCTAACAACGACACATACAGATATACAGACACACAGAGAATGTAGGCTAGCATGAGAGGAACTGTTGGAGGATGCGTTTTCTCTGCGGTCCGACTCGAATTTTTATGAAGAACATGACTCCATGCTCAGGAGTAAGGGGGAATACACAGCCACAGAGACAGAAGGGTGATCTTGTAAGCTTTAATTTATTTTTCTAAATAAGGAAATAAGGCTAAAAATATAATTTTCCTGATATCGGAAGATAGCTCTGCACTTTACACACAAAGTTTGGTATTATAGTGAATAGCTCAGCTCAGCAACACGTTTAATATAAAGTTCTCCAAGCATTTATTTCATTTTTATGTAACTGACAAAATTTATAATATGCGCATCATCTTCAAATCTTATCCCTGGTGCCGTCTTGGCCTTTCTCCAACACTCTACTTTGCAGCTTTGCAGTTCGAGTCTAAAATAATTTGTCAATATTCGAGAGGAAAAAATGGCATAAATATTCAATTGGTGTAAAATGAATGAGGTCTAAATTTGATCTAACGCTCATGACGATAATATAATAGTATTAGTACCATTATTATCTTCTGACAATATCCACTGTTCGCTTTCTTAAATTATAGCAAGGTTTCGGAGAATTGACTCCACCTACATCCTCCGATAAAACCTACTCAGTTGGGCTACATCGATAGAGCTAGTCTCTATCTCCGGATATTCGAACCAAAACAAGGCTGGATATGAGAACCAAACATAACACGAAAAATCTGCGGGAGTTGAGACAAAAATTTAAAACTTCTCATATAAAAGAAGTGAAGCAGGTTTGAAAGTCTCAGACCTTATCCAGAAAGTAAAAGGCCCTTTGCCCTCTATGTAATTATTTCAAAGGCTAAAAGTTGGGGTGCGTTGTTCATTTCTACGTACAACAGTACGTAGAGATGAACAACCCACCCAAACCCACGCACTAATTCATGACCTTTGAGTTCTGTTCCTGTTTTCAATTGATTCACCCTTCTTGTTCGTAGGGAGCCTGTCTGTAGCCCACCCGCAGTTTCGCACATTTCCATTCGCTATTGCAGCAGTGTCTTCAGTGAGAACCGGATAACTGAACGAGCCCTGAATATATCATCCATCCAATATAAGCTGACATAGAGTAAGATCCAAACCTGACCTAAGCCAACCTTAGCCAACATAAAAGTTAATGTTGTCCCCTAGGCTTAGATTCACGTTCCGGTCGCTTTATTCCTTAGAATTATGCCCCTGGTACCCATCGGAAAAGGGGTAGCCTAGGCCCTTAAGCCATCTGAACGTTATGGATTAGAGGTAAATTTCTTGCAACTGCCAGGAATGTAACGTAATGTAATCTAACATAATAATAATAATAATAATAATAATAATAACAATAATAATAATAATTTTGCAATAATATTAGGTCTACTATATTCATTTCATTAAATCCTTAGATAAAATAATACTAAGGTCTACCATTTTAGAAATATACTATAAAAGGTAAAAAAGGTAAAGTTATCCCTATAACAGGCCGCGAAGACCTATAGGGTTGAGAGATGTCGAGGCTCCCATATGTTCTAAAAAATCGACTCACAGATGGCGGTAAGATTACCAGTTTTACGGGCAGGTCGCCCTTTACCCCCAGGAACATTCCTGGTACTCATTTATGTTAGAAGCCCAGTCGAACCCAGGACCATATTGCGGCTGGAAGTATTCGGCAAATTCAAAAAATCCAATAACCTCATCGGGAATCGAACCCGCGACCTTCCGGCTTCTAGCATAGTGCCTCAACTAACTACGCTACCCCATGCCCCAATAAGTATTATATTTGCAGTTGTGCATCTCATTTGTCTTAATGGATAATAACAGTTCTTAAATGTGGGAGCGACAGTGAGAAATCAAAATTACGAAGAAATTAAAAGCTGTGTAAGATTTGAGGCTTTCACGGCGGTTACTATGAAGAAAGCAGTCTTCTGGGATTTGGCACCGTGTATATGTGGTGTTAATCGACGTTTCGGAGGAACGTATCGCCTCCATCTTCAGGGTAGAAGGAAAAATACAAGAAATCCGCAAGCGAAGAGACCGTGAGAACCGGTAAAAGCAGTCTGCTTCCCTCCGGTTGTCTCAACATAAAATTGATCTTACTCGTTGTTTTGTATGGATGTGATATTAATCTCTCACATTAAGGGAAGAATGTAAATTATTTGTGTTTGGAAACAGGATGCTGAAGAGAATACCCAGACCTACAAGGAGGAAGAAACAACAGACTGAAGAAGACTTCCTAATGAGGAGATTCATAATTCGTACTCTCCTCCAAAGAGTCTTTATGATGATTAAATTAAGGAGACTAAGATTGCCGGGTCCTGGAGAACGCATGAAAATATGAGAAATGCAATCACAACCTTGGAATGAAAAACTGAAGGATAGAGGCCTCTTGTGAAAACAGGGCTGAACTTCCGGATTCCATATAATAACTAGCTCAAGGACCATCTGTTTATCAAACAGGCTCTGCTAATTAGATTTAGTCTAGAGGCACGTTAATCGCATGTCTGTTTCGTTAGTGTTTGTTTACTTTCTATTAGCACATTCTTAATTTGTGCTGCCAATTAATAAAATACCTTGGGTCCACGTAGAATACCGTAAACGAAGTACAAAGGATACAAGCAGAACACGCAAACTTCACACTTCGTCTGTAACAGTGAGGAATTCTGCACAATGCTTCGGAATTGCATATAACACACGAATTGTATGCTTCGCCTATAACGTGTGTAGTGCTTTGTAAATCGAGTCGACATACGTTACATGGCAGGAAGCTTGACAATATTTTCGATGTTACTGTACCAATGACTCTTCGAAAAACATTTAAGTTTATGGAAACCTACTATAAGTCGGAGTGAGCGGTTTATGGGAATCTACGAGTACATTCAGAAAATATTGTTATGAGGTTAATGTCTAGCGAAAGAAGCCATATATTACATAAATTCGAACGAAACGAAGGAAACGAAATTCGTGTACTGCACTCTATGTAGAATTTAACTATCAGAAGTTCCTATAGACTCCGAAAGAATGTGGTTTCTGAATATACCAAAACAAACCAAGAGAAATGGAGTCGGGTTAGCGCAGTCGGTATAGCGACTAGCTACGGGATGGACGACCGAGGTGTCGGAGTTCGAGTCCCGGTAGGGTCAAGAATTTTCTCTTCTCCAAGCCTTCAAGATCAGTTCTGGGGCCTATCCAAAGGGTACCGGGGACTTTTTATCCGGGAGTAAAACGGTAGGGGCGTGAAGCTGACCAATCACCTCCAACTACTGCCGAGATCAAGGAAATATTGATTATACATCCACTCTCTCATAAGCCTTCATGGCGTAGTGCTTAATTAGCTAAGCACAGCGACAACTATACCTTACTTTTTTAGCAAGAGAAATACTCATACTATCGTGTTATACTATAAAGTAAGTAATTAAAGCTATCCCTGTAACAGGCCATGAAGGCCCATAGGGTTGTGAGATGTTGAGGGTCCCACATTATCTAGACAATCGGCTCAAAGATGGCGGTAAGGTTGTCAGCCTTACGCGCAGGCCGCGCTTTACTCCCCAGGAAAATTATTTATTTAATTCCTGGTACTCATTTCTGTTAGAGGCTTAGTGAACCCCAGGGTCATAGTGCCTTACCATATATAAAACCGTGAGGCCATCTGGATGCTACTACTTGCGGACAGACGGAGGAACATGATGCATATGAGAGTTGGTTTCGATGTTTAAGTATACTTAAAATAACAATCCTCTTAGTTTTATTACTTGATGATTGTAGGGAGGACTGGAAAGAGAGTCGCATTCGCTGAACCCAAATCTCAGTCACATAAATTCTAGGAATGGTCGTTAGAGAACACGCTACTCACCTGGCGGCTTCGATATCGCTCTCACTGAACCCTGAGTTCTTCACATTATTCAGCTCAAGATTAATATTCACTGGTCTTCCAGCTCCATCCTGAATCGTGACCTTAGTCATAAATAGAGGGTCCACAGGAATCAACTGAATTTCTGGAAGTCCTGTTAAACAATTAAGCAGTTGAGTGACCATCTTAGAATGACAACTGACGTGGGATATAATTCAAGTTAGCTACGCACCGTAGTTATGTTTATATCATCTGACGAATAACAATTTGTAACTATCAGTTTTATTCACAACTGGTTACAGTTCATGGCAGTCCGTTAACTACAGTGTAAAATCTTATGCATTCAATTTACTTCTTTATTGTCTTCATGATTTCTCTTGGAAGGACATATAAACGCAAGCTTAATCTGTATCTATAGCTACCTTGTCGCTACAATATGACACATGAAGTATTTATAAAGCTGTCTATTCTATACTTACAAGATATTATCAGGATTTGCTACGGCGTAAAAATATGTCGCATTCTTTCTTCTTTACAACCATTAATTTTGCGATAATTAAGAATAAACACGTCAATTTGGATCATATTTTTACGCTTGGATTTCTTTTCAGTGTTACTCTAGCTTTTAAAAAACCAATAAGGACTAGAGTTGCTAGATTTATTTAATGAATACAGCTTTCCGCCATGACTTCATAACTTCTACTCTTCTCCAAGTACACTTAGAATGATCAAGTCAAGGAGGATGAGGCTGGCAGGTCATGTAGCACGAATGGGGGAGATGAGGAATACGTATAGGATATTGGTGGGAAAGTCAGAAGAAAAGAGACCACAGAGAAGACCAAGACGTAGGTGGGTGGATAATATTATGTGGATCTTAGAGAGATAGGATGGGATGGGATGGGATGGATAGATCTGGCTCAGGATAGGGACCAGTGGAGGGCTCTTGTGAACACGGTAATGAACCTTCGGGTTCCATAAAATGCCGGGAAATTCTTGAATAGCTACAGAATTGGAGGCTCCTCCAGAAGGGCTCATCACCATGAGTAAGTAAGTAAGTTTTCCGCCATGCGAAACCACGGCGATTATCAGTACTTACCAGATTTCATTTCTCTAATGGCATTTTTAATGGAAGCTCTTAGACACTCATTCATATTCGGGTCTTTTTTCCTGCAAAGTTTAATTGTAGAAGCTAAAAAGAGAAACAAATGAGCATGCGGTAATTAATATTAAAATGGATCTCAGAGAAATAGGATGGAGGGTTATGGACTGAATAAATCTGGCTCATGATACGTACAAGTGGATGGCTCATGTGAATAGAGTAATGAACCTTCGGGTTCCATAAAATTTTGGTAAACTCCTGAGTTGCTGAGCAAATGGTGGTTTCTGAAGAAGAACTGAGCTCCACGCAGCTAGTTAGTGTTTCTGACTAGAACTCTGTTACAAACAGTGACTAAAGTGGAAGGACAGGTATTAAAACCATTACTAATGTTCCCTACACATAATGACTCAAAATAAATGCCATATAGTCAATAAAGTGTTCAGTTTCAAGTTATCGAAAACACGAAGAGTTCTATCTTTTTGGGTGTAACGTAGTGTAGTACATACAACTTATTTATTTGACCGTCAGAACACAACAATAAAAGGACTTCAAGGAAAATGCCCAGATATAGTTCTGCTACATGTTTCGGCCACTAGTGGCCATCATCAGGCAAACACACTTCAACAAACGTACACCACTGAACTGCAGTACGCAAAATTTGGTACAATATCATAAATCATTTAAGATAATTCAATTCAATTCTTTATTATTAATGTTTCGAGTCAACAGCCGCAAGGCCAATTACAGACACAGCACATTGCAGATGAACGAATTGCATTATAGACAACTTATTAAAAGTCAAATACAAATTACAGGTAAGTACTTGGAAGAAATAATAATGAATAAAAGTAAAAGTAAACAAACAAATAACTTATAATTATAACAGTAATAATAATTTCATTATCATTAAACTAAGTGTTATTACGAATTGAGGAATGAAACATAAATATTTAATTAAGAAATGAATAGTATAGATTTTCAGAGGATAATAATAATATACGTAATTCATTTTGTTTTACTGGACATGCAAATAATAAAAATACTAACAGTTATACTATATTTAAAATTTGTTTGGGTAGAACATTCCTGGCTCCGAATACGTCAGCATCCCTGCAGACAGCATTACCAGCTGCTAATAAGAATAAGTAGGTTATTTAAAACTAATAAAAGTCATATATAAAAAAACAAAATTAAAATTTGATTGATGTTTTTTAACATCGAATCAGTTGTTGGTTCCACTTTACATACGTATCCGTCGACAAAGAGTAAATTTCAATGTTTCATTATAAAATTTATAGGAGGCCCAATAATTAATGGAATACTTGGAGTCTCATCATACGGAGAATTGAACGTAATGTATGGAAGATAGTACGTTCAAAGTCAACAGACGTTTCGAAGGAACATGTCCCCTTCATGTTCAAGGTTTAGCAGAGAAGCAAGAAACCAGCATGAATCAGATAACAAGCAGAGCTCTGTTCTCTTAACCTCATTTTCGGAGGAAGCAGAATTCTGCTTGCTACCTCTTTCATGTTGATTTCATGCTTGGCGTCCTCTTCAGCCCTAAAGATGGAGGCGACTTATTCCTTCGATATATCGGCTGACTTTCAAGGAACTAAATTATATTGTATCTTCAAGACATAGAACTCTTCATAATCAGCGCTGTAAAAATTTCAATTCTACATAACCAAAATATAGTTATGACCGTATAAATTGTGATTTTTAAATAATATGTCGTAACATAAGGTTCTAGTCCTTTTGAGCCGGGGTTTGTAATTGAATTCTAGATAACAGAAGAATATTCAAGTTTCGTTCTAACTGGGCTAATGTGAAGCCGCATCAATAAAACAACAGGAATAAAAACTGCCTAATGAAATCGAGAAAGTAGTATTTCGTATTAGGCCCAGAAACTCGGTATCAGAGAACACTAAATATTCAACATGTTGATGGAAGTACAGTTTAGAGTCAATAAAAATACCAAGGACTTTATAAAACTTGTATGCAAAATACCAGAGTTATAAGGGACATGGTTATTAGCCAGCATGATAGGCTTTCTGGAGAAGGAAATAACTTTTGTGATAACAGCATTAGGCTTCATGTGGTCAGCAGCAAACAAGTTGTACAGAGAGAGAGAAATACATACACATAATACATCGTGGAGCATTGTAGATGTATGTAAAGTACAAATATAGGGCCGCGCCATAGCTGAAGCGGTTAGTCGCTGGCTTCCCATCGCGGCGGCCCTAGTTCGATCCCAGGTCTGGTCAAGCGGGATTTGTGGTGGACGAAGTAGAGCTGGGGCGGGTTTTCTCCGAGTACTTCGGTTTCCCCTGCCAATCTTCATTCCACCAATTTCTCCATCATCTTAATCACTCGGGGAAGGCTACAATAGGCCAATCAGTGGCCGCCGTGCCGAGTGGACCCAGTTGGATTCCACCCCCCACTAAGCGAATTAAAAAGAAGTATAAATATATGGCAAATACTTATTAAACAGATGGATCAAGTATCTGTTAAAGAACTGATTGCCAAGGGTGTTTACGTTAAAGATTCCATTTGTTGCTAAGTCGCAGGGAGCAGACATCATCAAAGTCTACTTTGTTTCGGACTGGAATTCTGATACCAACTCTTCTAAAATTGAAAGGCAAGTAAAAGAAGCATTGTAGAAATTCCACAAATAATGCCTCAAAGCATTTCGTATGAAATGTAGAATTTTATTATCCAAAATATAATTATAATTGCATGAATTATAATTTTTAAATAATCTGTTTTAATAAAATGTAAAATATTCTACTTATGTTCCAGTCTTTATATACTGTATTTTTAACACAAATTATATAGATCTATTTTCTTTTATGCAAAGGACGGTGAATGTGTTCATACTCACGCAGCTTGGCAGCCTCGGAAGTTAGAACGGCTACTAAAGCAAATAAGAGAGCAGACTTCATCCTTCTGCTCCGAAGCAATATGAGTCTCAAGAGATGGAATATACGACACAGTAGCCCAGAAGCTCTCTAATGCGATCAGTGAAGCCTGTAAGAGTGAGGAACCTATTTATATATTAGCCGCAAGGAAAATTCGGTTTAAGTGGGGAACATATAGAGGTAGAAACACGGGAAAGTTATTACGTCAGAAAAGAGGGAGCAAGGACAAAGAGGTCGAAAGACTTTAAATATGTTAGGCGGTGCTGGGGGGCGGGGGCGGTCACACAGTTCAAATTAAAGTATGTGGGTAACATTCTGCGTTTCATACCATATGTCATTAGTTATATACCACATCTCTTAATTTAGACTTCTGCCATTACGCGTAAAAAAGTAGCTGCTTGGTTTTCCTGACCTATACTAATTATCATCTTTTTTTTTCCTTGGTACCACAGCCCCAGTGGGCCTAGGCCTATCTCCTTGAACTTCTTTCACTTCGGTTTTTCTAGATCGCTTGGAATGAAGGGGTTCTTCGTGTATCGCATTGAGATTCTCGCTTGTCCAAATGCGAAAATTTTGCGAATTAACGTATACGGAAAGAAGCGCGAAGAGAGTGGCATATTGTCAATGGTTACAGACCCTTGTCCAGGATAATCCGCACATACTGGACTACACTTCGTTTTCGGACGAGGCGCATAATTGGACCCATCTTCTTCGACACGACAATCACAACAGCAGCGTACCTAGATATCTTCCACTGCTTTGTGAATCAACTGGACGATGAGGAATTATCCATCGGTTATTTCCAGCAGGATGAAGCAACAGCACACACCTCGCGCGCAAGCATGGCCGAAATCCAGTCTTTTTTCGGCGACCGCGTCATTTCCAGGGGAATTTGGCCACCGCGCTCGCCCGATCTAACGCCGCCTGATTATTTTTTGTGGGGACATTTGAAAGCGAAAGTTTATGCCAACAAACCGCGAACCATAGAGGCTTTAAAAGAAAACATAAGTGAGGCGATCCAAGAAGTGACACCTGACGTACGGGCTAGGACTTTCCAAAACATGGCGCGCCGAGTCCAATGCTGTCTGGACGCAAATGGTGGCCATTTCCAGCACTTGTTATGATGTCACCAGACTTCACATGAACTGAGGTAAGTCCACTCCAAATTTCGTTGCAATATCTTTATTAGTATCCGAGTTATTAACAAAATGCCGGGTTCCGCCCCGAGTGAAACACCCGTTATCAGAGACTATCCTATGTTCAATGTCTGCTCGTCTGGAAAAAGTGTCCTTATGCTGGATGCAGATAAGGAAGAAGACGACCGAAGCTAGATACGAAAAGGCCGACGCTCGAGGAATAGGCGGGAGCCGGACAGAAGAGGAGACGGAAAGGCCAGAGAGCGGCAGCAGCAGCCGGTATGTTTAGGATCAGAGAGGCCATGGGATCAAGCTCGCCAAAAAAAAACGAGTACAGCAGAATGGAACGACCCTCCTAATTCAATGTGAGGGTATCGGCCATCTTAGAAGAAACTGTCGAAAGGGATAACCTCAAAAACACTTCCAGATTAAAACAAATAGATACAACGAAGGAAGAGGCGACTGTTATTACTGCTTCCAGTTCGTAGCATATTGTCTCCACTAACTACGCTACCCTATCTCCATGATATATCATCTGCGTTTGTCAACTCTGAAACTGGGTGAAGGTTTCTCAAAACTTATGTATGAACCTTAAGTTACGCTAAATATTTACTTTTTAATTCCCTACCGTAGTTGGCTGAGGCACTATGCTACAAGCCGGAAGGTCGCGGATTCAAGCCCCGATGAAGTCATTGGATTTTTTCAATTGACCTAGTCCTTCCAGCCGCACTATGGCCCTGGAGTCGACTCAGCCTCTAGCAGAAATGAGTACCAGGAATATTCTTGGAATATTCTTGGGGGTAAAGGGCGGCCGTCGCGTAAGGCTGACAACCTTGCCGCCATCTGTGAGCCGATTGTCTAGACAATGTGGGAACCTCAACATCTCACATCCCTATGGCACTCCACGGCCTGTTAACAGGGATACCTTTACTTTACTTTTTTTACTTTTACAATTTGTATTAACAACATGGCGGAATCATAAACATTTGAGGTGGAAGCACTCCAGAGCCACGCAATATAAGGACTTGAAATGATGTATAGTAACATGCTCCTTACTTACTTACTTACTTACTTACTCATGGAGCTGAGCCCTTCTGGAGGAGCCGCCAATTCTGCAGTTACTCAAGAATTTCCCAGCATTTATCGAACCCGAAGGTTCACTACCGTGTTCACAAGAGCCCTCCACTGGTCCCTATCCTGAGCCAGATCTATCCAATCCGTACCATCCCATCTTATCTCTCTAAGATCCATTCTAATATTGTCACCCACCTATGCCTTGGCCTTCCCAGTGGTCTCTTTCCTTCTGGCTTTCCCACCAATATTCTATACGAATTCCTCGTCTCCCCCATTAGTGCTACATGACCTGCCCATCTCATCCTCCTTCACTTGATCATTCTAATTCTACTTGGAGAACAGTACAAGATATGAAGCTCCTCATTATGCAGTTTTCTCCAACCTCCTGTCTCTTCATCTCTCTTCGGTCCAAATATTCTCAACACCCTCAGTCTGTGTTCCTCCCTTAATGTCAGAGACCCAAGTTTTACATCCATACAGAATCACAGGCAAAATTATTGTTTTGTATATTCTAATTTTTATGTTTTTGGACAGCAGACGAGAAGACAAAAGGTTCTCGAATGAATGGAATCGAGCATTACCCGAGTTCAATGTCCTCTTAATTTCTTCCTGAATCAGGTTTCGATCTGTTATCTCTGTTCCCAACATACTCCTATGTTCGCAAATCTTTTTCGTTGATTAGTTTTTTCTGTAGTGTGTAAAACAAAAGAAACCGGCTCCATTGAATATATTCAGCTGTTATCCTTATGGCGGTAGGTAATCAGTTAATGGAACTCTGCTTGCAATTTTGTCCTCGAGACAAATCATGAAAGTAGTGTTACGTATCCGGGGTTCCGTGAATAATAACAGGAGGTTCTGGATTAGATATTGGGGTTTATTGGCACTTCTTTTACAATTACAATCAATGACTGTCTAATACTCGCTCCATTCCTTCCTGGACTATGAGTATGTTTCCTTCTGCCGTGACTGACTTGGTTCTGATATACGAGTCACTCACTTCTTCAGCTTCCGTTGTCCGCTGGTTAACACACCACAGCTGAACACTGAATTCTCTTGCGAAAGAATTACCACGCACGAATGCCCTCTCTTTTATCACTCGGGGCGAACCGGAGATAGACCACCACCTCGGACAGTGCGTCTGTTATTCTGTGTTTATCCGTTGCTATGAAATGTGCCTAGCGACCTGCTACCCAGCAACGGAGGTCCTTCCACTACTGACTGCGTCACCTTACTCTTAATTATAAACCTACTGAGCGAAGAGTAGAAAATATAGAAGTTCACCCTTCAAATTTTTCGTTCTACCTTTACTTTGAGTCCATACACGTTTCTTGGCGCAAGATCCTGAATCTGATAGTGAAGCTACAAGAGCGTCTTATATAATCACGATAACCTTGTTGATTTTAGCAGCAACTGATGTCTGGCTCATACCAAAAGAATTTGCAGAGATTGTACTGTGTCAAGTTATACCAACAACAAAAACAGGTTTTTTTGTTTTCGGTGGGCGTCAGTTGAGATGAACATAAAAGTTGCACTACAGCTGTCTTCCTGTGTGGTTCTAAATAACCTTAATTAACTCTTTCAGAAGAAGTGACGCAGAAACTAGTTGCTTGTTACAGCACTTCTTACGAAATAGTGAATTGTGTACCAACAGTGCTAACCTCCCCCTTACTCAATTCTGGTGATGCACAATAGGTTCTGTAAATGAATGGGGCAGCCAGATTTAACGAGTGCCGCAAGTGAAGTATAAAACATTTTCAATGGCTCTTGCTACTAACTGATTTATTAAAGAGCGTGAGGGTTAGGATGCCTTTTATAGAGAAATTCTGTAAATATAACAAGATTTTCTCAAAATGATAGAATACTCCTCTTAAAATACTCACATTTATGCAGAGAGCGCTGCTTACATATTGTCACGTGTATGAGTGACTATAGACGGCGTTTGGATTGGTAATTGGATTCATTGAACCCTTACAGAACGTAAACACGAATAACTACAGCTAATTCACACACTCTACAATCCACTACAGCACACACTAAGCCTCTTGCGTCTGCTATATCTTCACCAGTTTGTCTGATAACGGCTTCTAATACCGTAGCTTCCTCAGCTTTCGTATTCATGCCCTTACTGCTCGGCGACTGTCTCCCAACCAACTAAATTCTAGACTTGTCCTGCTTATAACGCCTCGGCTAGGACCGCATAGAAAACATCGCTTCCAACAATTCGTCTATTGCGACACTCAACTATCGCGCGGACCGTGTAGAGAACGCTTATTCCAAGTTAGTCCATTCGTGTGTGTTAGGAATCTGTTACCTGTCAAAGCGCGTTGTCTACGGAGTCAAGACTTAACAACGGCTCTATATGCTATAATACGTATATACTGTATGAATGTGTACACGTTTGCAGACTTATCTATGTTTGTACGTCAGTACGTGCGTAGTCACATATGTGATAGTCTGTATACTTATGTATTTATTTGTGTTCATTATTACGAGCAGCAGCTTACAGATTTCTTTTACAAATACAAAATTTGTCGGATTACATAGAATGAGCCAAATGTCCTTGTGCACCTAAAGCGGACGATGAGAATATTGAAACAGTCCCTGTATATTAATAAAAATAGATACGTCACACTTACTTAAGTTGCAACTTACTTAGTTACTCACGGAGCTGAGCCCTTCCTGAGTAGCCGCCAATTCTGAGGCTACTCAAGAATTTCCCAGCATTTATCGAACCCGAAGGTTCATTACCGTGTTCACAAGAGCCTTCCACTGGCTCCTATCCTGAGCCAGATCAATCCAATACGTACCATCCCATCCTATCTCTCCAAGATCCATTTTAATACTGTCCACCCACCTACCCCTTGGTCTTCTCTGTAGTCCCTTTCTTTCTGGCTTTCCCATCA